GCGATTCTCGCTCTTTTTCTTTAAATCGGGGAGCTGAGAGAATAACAGCGAAACACATCCCTCGTGCGTCTTGTCAAATCTGAGCAAAGGTGCGTGACTGAAATCTAAAAAGGAAGGAGGATGCGCCTTTTCCCAGCCAGGCGGACGGGGGCGTGCCGTAATTCATTTAGATGCTCCATACTCAGCCAAAACGCAAGGTCACGGTCTGCCGTTCAAGGATGCGTCTGCGCAGACACGACATCTACAGCCGCCCACTTCACATGACCTCGCAAAGCTGATAACAAAACAAAACAAAAACAAGTTTACCATATTCCACCTCTAAACTGCGAGCCTGGGCAAACTTAAAGAAATGACCAGATTATCTTCCATTACAAAAACGACACTAGCAGTAGGCGGATGGAGTAAGAACTAGAGAAGTAGTAGTAGAAGTACTATGAGTAAAGACTGTCCTGCAGAGCCAGACCATCGATGCCAAGCTGATCTGTAACTGGACGGTATCTGCAGGACTCCTTCTTCTGACTTCTCCTATTTCTGACTGACCCATTTTAATACAAGGTACATACAATACATGCAACTAAAAAGATTTTTAAAAAATGTGTCTTGTCATCCTATGGCATGTGTTGCCTCACAGCAAGAAGGTTGTGGGTGTATAGACTTGGAAGATCTCCTGGGGCCTGTGCAGATTCACTCCAAGGCATTCCAGCTTGCTTTGTTTCTACCTGTTAATGCCCCACCTTTAGCCTTTTGCCTTATAGGGTAGCTACGATAATCCCAGCATCCCTGAAATGGGTACAAGGTTAAGAAAATGGATAGATGGATGGAGGATTGATTGATTCATTAAATTGTCCTCTGTCTGGCGAATAATCAGCAAATGCACCTCACACAAAGACTATGTCAGTATTTTGTTCTGAAGCTAACTAACGTGTAGTCTTTTATTCAATAGGTAGACAGAGTACGGATGGAACAGACGGCCAGTTTACCATATTTGAAACACCTCAAATATGTATAACATGTCCACATGTGTTTTAGCATTCTCTTTGGTCATAGGAAATTTGTAGTAGGCGAGCCAAAAGTTATTGTCCCATCAGACTGAATAGTTCCTTGTGCTTGTATCACTGTTAAACCAAATTGAGATCTTTGTCATTTTCATGCTGGGCTCTAAAGCCTGATATATGGCACGACATGGTGTTATTCAAGGTTATCAGACAATCGAGACAATTGTGTGCAGCGTGGTGGTGAGATACAGTTGAGACAGTGTCTGGCACAATGTCTAGCTGAATGCGTGAGTAAATTAATGAGTGATTATCTTTGTTTTTTGAATAGTTTATTAGGCTGTTGTTATGTGGTTGTACCCTGCAGTGTTATTACTGCTGTTTGCAATCACTCTTCAAGTGAATAACTTTTAAATATTGCTAGAAATTAAATGAAATGCAATTAAATACTTCTAGACAATTGCAGTTGCTATTCTGTGTTTTAGAAATTCTAAACTTTTTACTGCTGCTCATTAAATTAAATTGTTAACAGAAATTAAATATTTTTTTAATTCATTTTTTAGGACTTTTGCATTTGCATTGAAGTTGTTTGGCAGCTATACAGAATTATGAATGGATGTTTCAATAGCACCACACTACTGTTTCAGCTGCACTTGACATGGGTACAGTTGAGGACAGTTGGAGTAAAAGTGGGAGACAAATGTGGAAAAAACATAAACTACTTATAAATAGTATTGTTTATTATTTTTATAGTACACATAAGGGAAGCATCATATAAAACCTAACTTATTTTAATTCTTGGCATTTGTAAGGTCTACCGACACATTTGCGCATGATTGTGGTCACAGTGCGAGTGAGGACTTTAAGGTTGTACTTGTACTATTCTTCATAATGTTCATTATAAAAGCATATTTGGGAAAGTACTGTGAAGTATGGACTAAGGAAAGCAGCCAAGAGGCAGTACAGAGAGAAGCTGGATGGCTTCTATTCTACTGCTAACTCCAGGTGGACGTGGCAAAGCCTACAGCACATCACAGACTACAGCATCAGCTCCATAGACAGTCTTCCAGATAATCTCAACACCTTCTACACCCGCTTTGAGACGCCCGGGTAAAGCACAGAGAGGAGGCACACATACAGGACAACCTGCCCTTCACCCCCTTCCCTAACTGGCTCATCGGGTCAGGCACATAAAGAACTGAAAGAGGTCAACCCTCACAAGGCAGCAGGACCAAACAACATCCCTGGGCAGGGTCTCCTCAAGCATGTGCCAGTGAGCTAGCTGATGTTCTCAACTTCATCCTCAACATCACCCTCAGCCAGAGCACTGGCGCCCCTTGTTTAAAAAAAGCAACCAGTGTCCTGCTTCCCAAGACGAGCCCGCCAACCTGTCATGAGCACTCACTCTGACCATCATGAAGTGTTTTGAGAGAGTGGTGCTGGCCCACATTCAGAACAGCATTCCGGACACTCTATACTCCCTTTAGTATGTCTACTGATCCAACAGGTCCACCTCAGATCCTACACTTTTCTCTCCCTCACTTATATAGACACACACCTATCAGAACTTCAGTCAGCATTACTACAAAAAATAGGCTGAGGGATGCGTTGAGGGATGCATCCTCAACCCTGTTCACCTACAAATGGGTCGCCTATCACAAAGATAGCATCATCCTAAAGTTCACGGATGATACTACAGTAACAGGACGCATGACTGGCAGCAACAAAACCTATGGAACCACCATGTGGCAACACCAACACTATGGACCACAAACGCCTGCAGAGAGAGGTTGGGACTGCTGAAAAGAGGATTAGAACTCCACTGCCCTCTCTGCAGAGCATCTACCATCACAGAGTTCATAGGATAGCTGTCTCCATCCTCAGTGACTCTACCTACCCCCAACATGGACTGTTCAGACTTCTACCCTCAGGCTGGAGGTATAAAAACATGAAATCTAGAATCTCCAAACTAAATAACTCTTCCTTTGCTACTCCCTTTTGGGCCCCATTATACCTGCTGCAACTTCATCTCACAGTCACTTGTATTCATACAAACCATTAAGGTGCAAGAAGCCGCTGCAGTATTCTCCTGAACAGGTGTGACCACTCAGACAATATCGCTACATAAGTGCTGATATAGGAAGAAAAGAAGTCAAAACTGGAAGCCATTGTCAAGCTTTTTTTCCCCCCACAAATTCTCAGGTTTCCAAACCGTTCCAATATCTCACTGTACATCTGCATGTCTCTGAGCTTCTGTACTGGAATATCATTAAAGTGGTGGTAAAAACCAGCACAATTCTACACTCCTGTCTTCAGCCCAGCTGTGGTGGTGGCGGTTACAAAAATCGAGAGGTGCACAACCAGCCAAAGTGACACAGGATGTGATGTCAAATTCACCGCACGACACCCATGACAACCCCCTGTCATGGGTGTCACGGCTGGTATAATGGGGCCATTAGACGTCATCTGACGTAAGCGTGCAACCATGGTTTTACAACCGTCTGCTTTTTCTCAAGTTACACACAGGTGATTGCCACTCATTACTGTTTCTACTGCACATGCTACTGTAGCATGCTAAAATGTAAATTGTGTAAATGTGTGCATAGCCTTTTGCAGCTCAGTCTTTTTATTTTATTTTAGCATATCTTATATTTCTATTGCATTAATTTTATTGTACCTAGTGTAGTTCTTTATAATTGTTTCTACTGTTTTTAAATTATGATTTTTTTTCTATTTTTTTCTGCGGAAAAAAGAAAGGATTTCATTGCATAGGACACATGTTTCTGTGTAACTTGAATCTAGAAGATAGGGTTTCAAAAAATTGTTCTAGTTTCTAACTAAATATTGAGTTTTAATAGATATTATGAAGTACTGTACAAGTATTTTTAGTTTTTAGGCTACAGACATTAAAAAAAAGCAAAAGGATAAAAACACAGTTCTTATTTCGCTCTTGATGTTTTTATATACAGTATCAATGTAAGTCTTATAAAGATGACATGTGTCATACTACGATGTAATAATGAGTGCGTTTCTTCTGTTAACTCATCAAATTCTTATATTTTGAATATCACTCTTAATATTAAATAAATACTAATCTGAAACACGTCTTACTCGACATACAATTTATAGAAAACAAAATAAAACAAAATACTTTTTTACTATAAGTTTTTTCTTTCATACGGGAATGCGTCCGAAAGGTCGTGTTTTCATTAAATAAAAACATGCACGCCGGTGTCGCCACTCAGACCACCAGTCAGCCGGTAAGTAAATAAAATTATATTTTTGTTTGTTTTTTGTTTTACCTTTTTCACAAAATGCTGTACGGAGGGGTCACATTTCTTTGTTACACAGGAAAAAGCACGGATGTAATTTGATGCAGCTCCAGCTCCTCTTCCGGTCTCTTTTCCCACAGCCACCGGAGAAAAATGGTATGTAGCAGCGCTGGTAGACAGAAATCTCGTAACATCTGTTTAATGTGTCATGTATCTGACACGAACTGAAGCCACTTCTGTGTCGGATAAACACTGTTACCGGTTGGATGATGTATTTTTGAGATAAAGTTTGATTTTAGTAAAAAATACTGTTGTTCCTGTCACATCCATCTAGCACTTGTTTGCTGCCGTTAGCCTTTAGCACAGTTGCACTGAATGGACTAAATAGTGCTAGAAGAGGACAAAATATCGTAAGCTTGACTTTATCATCGATTGTGGTTTTTTCCGGTAATCAGAAAAATAAATACATGGAAAATACATTTACGGTTGTTCGTTGGCAAAATGGCAACCGGTGTTTTTCGCCGATGTTAGCATAACTAGCATCTTTTTCATGTGGTCCATTTCTTTTGGTAACGTGTACAAAATTAGTGTCGTCAGCCACTGCAGATTTTGTCTGAGGAAAGCACACCGGCTTTCAGTGGCCGTAAAGTAACTATCATTTGAGCATGTGTGGCAAGCTGAGGCCACGAGTTGCTGCAACCACTGTGATTAAGTGTTTGCTACCACCTGAAGTTCAGTCTTGTCAGTGATGTTTTTAAAACACAAATGTCTGAACAAATGACTGCCTGTGATTCCTCCTTTTTCACTGAGACAAGACTGGCCCCGGCCTGGTCTACAATCAGATCTCCTTGAGTTGTCCCTGATCTCACATGTTTGTCTTGCTTCTCAGACCAAGGGGACATCATCTTTCGGTAAGCGCCGGAACAAGACGCACACCCTGTGCCGTCGTTGTGGGTCCAAAGCCTACCACCTGCAGAAGTCTACCTGCGGCAAGTGTGGCTACCCTCAGAAGCGCAAGAGAAAGTGTAAGTAACCTTAACACATGTAATAGAATACACTGTTTTTAAATGTGATATTGGCAAACTTTATGCTTGCTTCTAGTGTTAGTGTATTTTTTTATTTTTTTATTTTTTTTGAAATGGCAAAAACCAGCAGGTTGCTGTCTTCCAGCATATTTTAGTGTAACACCCCACTGGTTTGCACCCATGCCCTGTCAAAAAGGCTGGAACTTAACTCCTTATTATGAGCAGCACTGTCAGTATGCTGTTTAGCTCTTCATTGATGTGAAGTGCCATGCTCCCTTGATTTATGGTGCTGTTCATTTTCAGACAACTGGAGCGCTAAGGCCAAGAGGAGGAACACCACTGGCACAGGCCGTCTGAGACACATGAAGGTCGTCTACCGCAGATTCAGGTAAGATGTAAAAAGGAGCAGATCACAAAGTGTTTCAAGGTGTTCGGTGTGTTAATTTATCATGCTTCTCTCTGTCAAAATCTAACAGAGGTGCACACCTCGTTTCCTTTTTCCCCTTAACATGTTTTTGAAAATCGTCACACCGACAGGATTTTATTTTTGTAAAGCTTTGTTTGCTGAAACAGCATTTAGGTGTGGATGAAAGGCCAAAACATAGAAAATGGTTTACAATGATACCTGTGTACATGTGAATGTAGCCTTTGTTTTGTTTGGCGGTTTTTATTTCCTTAAAGAATAATAGGTTACAACTGAGGTTACAAGGTTTTTTTTTCATGCACTAAATAAATTAAATTGCCTTTTCGTCTTATATTAAATTATTGTTAATTACTTGTACCTGAGGGATACAGGTTAAAATTTCCCTTTAGCTTGAAAATGTCCTTTAAAAAAAACTTCCCATGGTGCTGAATGGGTAAACATAAGTTCCACTTCAAGCAAATAAAGTCCTGCATGTAGTCTGTGCTTTACTTCAGTTCTTCACTTTCTGAGTCTTAAATTGGTTTTTAGCCTTAGCATCAGTATTACAAAGTTGTCTTGATGGCAGGACTCTTAAACGTGTAATGAATTTAAACACCTCAATGAAAATGTTTGCAGGAAATCACAATTTGTTAAACACAAGTAAACCTGGAGTAAATTCACTTGATTTACTAGCTTGATCTATAAACCTTGGATATGTTGACAAGATGTGTTTCCAACAGGAAATATAAGCAGGATTTCTGTATCTTCTATCAGCTCGATAAAACCAAATAATTTTCCCACTTTGACAAAAAAAATTGACATAAAAAGATGAATAGTTTGTATAAAGATGTCTTATAAGACCATAATATTTGCCTTTTGACTTTAAGGGATGGTAAAATTTGTGTGCACAAGCAAATATTTGTATCAACAATTCAAGCAAGTGTTTACAAAATCTAAGAAAACTCTCAATACTGAACTTGTTTGGCAGTTGTAGTTAGCATACCACTCTTCCCCCCCCCTTTTTTTTATTTTATTGGTAGACTTTAAACAGTGTGTTAGGCTTGCAGTGTGCAGCTGGGGTTTTTCTTCCCTCTCCCACTTACTCGTCTTGCAGCAGAAAACTGAGCATAAAGAAGTTGCCAAACATTTAGTATTCACACTTCCTATTAAACAGTTTGAACATAGAGTAACGGGGTTGTGTCCTGCTGCAAATCAGGGTTGTCTTGTCATATTTAGCCCACATAGTTTTACTGTCTCACAGACTGGGTGTATGAAAATGAGGTTTGTCTTCCTCAATGCTGCTCACCAATGATGGTGAAAAAAAAAATGTCTGAACAAATGAACTTAATATGACATCACTCTTTTCTCTGAGGTGAGTGGCATTTCAAGACAAGTCATATAGAAGGAAATTTTGTCGGTCTTACTACTTCTTGAGAGTAAGTGGGTGGTTAAAACTCGTACGTTTTGATATTTATGTTATCATTTACAAAACATTCAAGCTGCACAGTGAGCAGTTATCCTATTTCAGCTTATGTAAACCAAGTCGATCTATATAGGGGTTTTACTTATTGAATGATTTTTTTAATCTGATGTTAACACATCAGCTGATTTTTCAGACACATGAAGCACAGGAACATTTTCCTAAGATTTGTTATGTGTAGTAAGTAGCTTTTTGTTGTTTGTGGCATGTTGTCAAAAAGGAAGCTTTAGGGTGCCCCCTGGTGGACAAAGCATGTGTAAGGTTAAAGCGTGTTTCTCCCATCTCTTCTTTAAGGGGGGGGGGGCATAATTGACCAGCTGTTAATAATATTAAAACAGAGATTGGAAAATGGCTAATAGCGGCTCTTGTTATAACCCCTTTGATAAGATTTATATCAGGCATAATTTATATAACCATTTAATGTAAGAATATGAAAGCCGTACTTAATGGCTCCAATTATGCATTTTCATTTTTGTATTAGTTTATGTAATGATGCCAATAACTTGCTTTTACTCCAATCTGGCAACACAACCTTGGCAGCAGCTGTTGAGTTTCCACTGTCTCAGGCAGAATGCCTGTTTAGCTGCAATTCAGTTAAATCACCTTCACTGGCTCATTAACGCTGGCAGTTACTGCACAGTTTCACAGTTCTAGCTGTTAGAAAATATTCAGTGTAAATAAATAAGGGATGGCGATGTGTGTGTGTTGGTGGCATAATGGGTGAAAGCTGCGTGCAAGCCTCACAACAGTTCAAACGTGGCCAAAATTTACAAAACACAGTAGATCTGAGGGCAAACTATCTTTAATCTCCTCTCCGCTGCTTCTGATAACATGAATAATTTACCTGAGCCCAGTCCAGCTAGCAGGCATCGCGTCTGTGTTAAATTGGGACAAATCAGGGAACCCAGTAAATATTTTTAGTAGTTGCGTGGGTGTTTTCTCCTGTTGTGATGATCTTAAGCTTTTACATGTGGTACAGCGGTGACCCTCCAGAAGTGAAGCATCTGAAATGTCTGACTCATTTGGACCTGACATTTGGTGGTCTCCTCCCTCCTGAGCGCTCGGTCTTTCAGTGTTTGAGGTAAAGAGAAGTATTATGTGCTGCCTGTAGAGGAGGACCACGTCAGTACCAACATTGTGTGTAGTTTGTGTATGAAAATGGTTTACTTCCGTTGACTCAGGGATGTGTTTTCCAGAATGATGTTTTTGGTGAAATAAACATTTGCATTCTTAACGTCACAAACTTCCTCCAGTCTCAGTTGTGCCAAGGTGCCCTGCATTTTCTATTCATTCTTCATATAAAACAAGTTAAAATCATTATTTATATTAAGATTTAATCATCAGCATTCAAGCAGGTTAGTTGGGAATAATATTTGGATCGATGTAGTGGTTTTAGCATTTTTGTAGAATAACAAACAACGTGACTTGGACTTCTTTAGCCATGATTACCTCTTAGTAAGACTAGTGTAATATGTCAACAGCATAATCAGTTTTGTTTTTGTTTTTCAGGAATGGTTTCCGGGAAGGCACCACCCCCAAGCCCAGACGCGCTGCAGTGGCCGCCTCAAGCTCATCCTAAAAGACACATTTTTGGTTAAATAAATGTGATGATAAACAGGAGTTGCAGGCTCGTTTTGTGGTCCTTGTTGTCTATCCATCCATCAGTGGCCATAAACAGTGTTGTTGTAAACAGATTTATATACACACACACTGACTTTGTTTCTTCTTGATTACATTGTATACATCTCCAGTGTAAAGGGGGGAAAAAAATCAGGAGTTTGTGAAAAGTGGAAACGAACTTGGAATAAAAGGTTTTCAGACACATGAGCTGGTGTCTTAATGTTGGAGGTTTTCTTACAAGACCAGCCTTATAAGAGCTAATGTCTGGTTTATGGAAATAGTGGGTTAAAATATAACGGTCTCATGAAAGAACACCTATGATACTGTGAAATGGTTTTAAATAAGGACAGGGGTTGTAGACATACAGACTTGCAGAAGTGGAAGTACATTTTTTTTTTTTTTTTTTTTTTGCAACATTGTGGTTGGAAGCACTGATTAAATTAAATTCAGTGAAAGTAAAAAAAAACATAATTCATATTAACAGGATTACACAACTCCATGGAGTGCAAACTTGATTAGAGTTTATGTTGAAATAATTCTATGCAGCTTGAATGTGTTTAACACAAGCAGCGAAAAACTAGCGCTAGTTGCTATCGTTTATGCCGGGTGCCCTTCCCTCTACAGCCAAACAGGAAAATAAGTATGGTTGGGTTCACGTGAGAGGTGTAGGAACCCTAAAGTTGGCTGTGGTGGTGAAAGTGGGGATAAAAAAATGTCGGATTTCTGTTTTGAGCACAAGTAGATTTTGTGCTGATGTTGCTCTAAAGCGAACTGCCCTGTGGATTTAGCATAGCCTGCAGTAAACTACGCAGTATTTCATGCAGCCTTTGAATAATTCGAAGTTGACAAAGCTCAGTTTGTTTTGTGGGAAGTTCGGGGGGGGGGGGTAATTTCCAGGGGGGTTATGACCCCCCCCCCCCAAATAAAATTATGAATTATCTTGCATAAATAGGCTTTTGATGTTCTTTACTCATTTCAGTTATTACCAGCAAAATAGTTGCATGTTTAATCATGTGGGAATTTACCCAGATTTATTTATTTGGACAGAGATCTTGATCCCACCAATGTTAGGCACAAAGTTACGCCGATGGGTCTATCAAACATCACTGAGCAGTCCTTACCTTTTAACAATAATCTCTCTTCTTCATCTCTTGTCTCTTAAATCTTACAAAGAACAGTATCTGGCTAAATCAGTTTAGTAGGAAGCAAAATCACTCAAACCATAAGACACTACAAAACACTTTAGCATCTTATTCCAGGTAAAATATTTTTAAGCATATTGTTCTAACAGTTTGTAAGGTTAAATTATCTGCTTGAAATATCTAACATTAAGCTTCACAAGAAAATATTTATTTGCTCACACACAATGCTATGATAGACTGAAAGGCTGTGTGAAACAGAAAAATGGAGACAGACTCTTGGCCAGTCATGTAGTCAGAAGCCCCAAAACACACACACTAACAGGGAAGAGAGAAATCATAAAGGGGTAACAATAATCTGGAGGTTGTGTAATCCTCATTGTCCCATTTTCTTGTGTGAAACACAAATCTGTATGTGTAGGAAAAATGTTGGTGAGAAAAAGTTGTGCTTATAAAAGTGTTGTGAAAGAAAAGAGACCAACTCCAGTGACGTGAAGACCCTACAATAACACAGAGAAACCCCAATAAGCAAATGACCCCTATTTTAACAAGTACTTAGTGACAGTAGGAAGGAAAAACTCCCTTTTAACAGGAAGAAACCAGGCTCAGGGAGGGTTGGCCGTCTGCTGCGACCAGTTGGGGGTGAGGAGAAGAAGACGGGACAAAAGACGTGCTGTGGAAGAGTGCCAGAGATTAATAGAAGAAAACGCATTCCTGTGGAAAAGCTAAAGCTAATAGTATCCTAGCATGATTCAGCGTAACAATACTAGCCTGCAGTGTTTTCATTGACATGAATTCAGTTGAGGGCTGAACTGTTTCCAAGCCGCAGCTGGTCTGAACATCTGTACACACAGGAGAGTCAGTGAGGCGAAGTTGTTTATTGGATACAACATTGCTTAAATATAAATTAGTCTGCCCACTGATTGCTTTCGGACAGAACTGATCTAGATACTAGAGTTAGTATTTGGTGGTCTGGCCTTTTTTCAAGCTACCCAAAGTCGCTAACAGCACCCATGCCTGCATAGTATAAGTGCAGCTGGAAGGCGAATAGCAATTAGTTGCTGTGTAACATCCTCAATGACAAAACAAGTCTAAATATTTAAATAATATAAATAATGCAGAAATTTCTCAGAGGAAAGTCTGTTTACAAATGAGTCAAAATACAGAATTTTTATGGCTGCAATTTGGAAATTCCCCAAGAGGCATCGCAGTGGAGAAAACAAGCGGTAGGAAGTATGTGGTGATGTCTCAACAGAGGTTTCCTTGGGACATGAAATTACCAACAATCTGAATATGGTGATTACCAGATAGAGATGATGGATGTTCAAAGTATTCCTGTTACCAGTAAATCCAAACATTTTCTAAGAAGTTGGAAAGCTTCTTAGAAAAACTTTGCAGATACAACACCAGAGCCTCGGGAGCTGCTTTCAGCACTGTTCCCAATTGCCTGTGCTTATGCATGCGTATGCTGACAAATGTAATCTACCGGGCAGTCTGTCAAGTTGATTTACAGCCTCTTTGTGTGTAGGGGTAGGATGGCTTCAATCACAGATAAGCCTCGAAGGCTTTTGCAGCAGCTGTACTTCCCAACATTCTTCCTGATGCTGTGGCAGAGTTTCTCCTTTGCACTGGCAAAATAATCCTCCACCTCTGTGAAAACTGTGTTGTCCTTTCATATTTTTAACTTGTAAATCTGCCACATGGCCAATGCACAGTCACTCAGTGACTTAGCATATATCAGACAACCTAATTCAAAAATGATGCATGAACGAGTCACTTTAAACTGACAGTAAAATGCTTTTCTTTCTTTTTAAATACAGTTGAATGCTGCAGCACTGCAAAGACTCATGGGAATGTAAATGTCTAAAAGGATTCGCTTACAAGTGCTATTATTAAGACTTTGTAGGGCATGTGTGAAGTGGTTTAAAGTGCTCGCGTGGACAGGAGAAGAGTTAAGGTTTAATAAACAATGGACCTCCATGTTTCTAGTTATTAATGTTCTCCAGCCAGTTGTTTTAGAGCAGACAAATGTTGAATCAGGGAACTGAGACGATTCTTATTTCTGTCATATTCTGACACAGACAAACACACAAAATACATAAAAGTTATAAATTGATTGATATGTCACATTGAGTGGAATAAGTATTTGATCCCCAAGCAAAACATGACTTAGTATTTGGTGGAGAAACCCTTGAGAAACTTTATAAACAGTTTAGGGTTCTTTCCTGCCACTTGGCAACCTCCTCGTGGCTCAGTCTATTGGCCCTTCAGTGTGATGAAGTCGACCTTAGCAGAAAAACACGCCAAACGTTTTCCACCTCCGTGCTTGACTTGCTCGAGTTGAGTTTGATTTTGGTTTCATCTGACCACAGAACTTTTTCCCAAGCTTGTTGTTGGCCTTACAGCCCATTCCAGTCTTGTGCAGATGTACAATCTTTGGTCTGGCCCATGGTGGTGAGAATAGAAGAAATTGATTTTGTGCAAAGGTGAGCTTTTAATACAATGAGCTGACAGGTATGTCTTTTATGTAATGTGTTGTTTTCTGGATTTTGGCTGAGATTCTGTCTTAATCTGACTTCCTGACTTCTTCTAATGGCGCCATCATGACTTCCTCTGAACTTTCATAAACTCCAGTGGCAGAGGTGACATTAAATCCTTGGCTTATCTCCCTGAGAGTTTATCCACGGCTGCTTTTCCCTCATCTCAAGCAAACATCCGAGGCAGGATGTAAAAAGCACCTGCCAAGAAACCACTCAGTTGGAAAAGTTTATTGTTCTTCTCAGTGCAGGGGAAGTGTCCTTATTAGTGTGCCATGTTAGTCCAGACTGAAATATCTCCACAACATTTTGTGTCTTTTTTATGGAAATGCAATGGGTGATGTTTTATTACGTTATACCCAGAAAAAAATGAACCAATATTAAAGACATTAAATTGAAACGATTACAGCGTCTAAAACTATTTAGCTCCATGATTTACAAGGCTTTACAATCTTAGAAGACCTTAAAACAGTGAACATGGCAATAGAAAGTTAGGCAGTATTTAGGAAGTAGGGCCACTGATCACCAGCAGTAGGCGGTAAAGAGCGGGGAAACCCGCACTTGGCTCCAAGTCACCGTCGCTCTTTCTCTCCTCTCTCCGGGGGCCATAAAGGCGCAGTGCAGCTTGGCTGTGCTCACACACAGGAGTAACCTGTTGGATAGCTGGTTTTGCTTCTCTTTCACGCTGACCCAACACCCGGATCGTCTCCATACTCCTGATCCTGTGTTTACCTGCAAAATCTGGATCCCTGCACTTTCCCACCCGTTGTATGAGTTGGTATGAAAAACTCCTGCTGGAATGAGAGGTAAGTAGAGATCGAGCCCTTTACGTAGAGGTGCTGCTCGGTGATTTGATGTTTCAGCTGCTGGACACGAAACTGACTGACTTTTAATCATGTGGGGAAGCCTCTGTCCTAGGATCAGCCTGTGCGCTTTTGTTGCTGCTGCGGGAGCCTGCGTGTCGGGGTGATGACGTTACCTCGAGCACAGGTAGGTAAAGAGGACTGGTGGGGTTTGATGCTCTGACTTATAGCATTACCTGTTATTTGGAACATTTGCTGCTTTAATAACTGCAAAGTCTGCAGCAAGAAACACACGCAGTCTGTGTTTTGACTAACACTGGTTGTTATCAGGGCTTTTTTCTGAGTGATGTGAGTGAAGCTGCCAGCAGCTACACATTCGTTTAACCCCGATAATAAAGACAGGCACTGGTTCGGTAACATGACATCATCCGCTGGAAGACTAAGGAAAAGATTATTCGCGAGTAAGGAGGCCTGCTGTTGGAACTCCTTTTAATTTAAATTCAAGTGCAGGCTGAGTATTTCTTAATGTATTTCTATATAAGGTAGGATTTCAACACTGAGCACGGGATCATTTGTCAAAGTGCTTGGATATACGTTTTGAAGACCCCTGAGGAGACCAGGCATTTCCTGCCTGGCCCATGTGGGCACTTTTTCCATCTCTCATGTCTTACACACGTAATGCAGCATGATCTGCTCTAACTTATTTCTCATGCCGACTCCACCTTTTGAGCACCGCCCTTTTCAGAATGACATTTTTTCAGGATGACATATTTACGCTCATTGTCTCCAACGGAAGACTCGCGCACAGAGATTTATGTCTAGTCACAGGAGAAAACTTTCTCCATAGACTAACTCACTCCTGGTGATTTATGTCTACATTGAATTTAATATTGCTTTTTGGAAGGTCTATGCAAGATAAAAGATGTGTGTGAGAGATTTGAGAAAGAGAGAGATTTGAACTTCTTCTGACCTCTCAAGCAGTGTGTATGCAGTTTACACAGCTGTCAGATGTAGTTACACATTTGTTAAGTGTGGAGGATCGAGGCCAGGAGGTGGCTTGGAGAGACATGAATCCACATGTGCACGAGGAAGTGTTCCATGCCGCACTGTTTTTACTCAGAAGAGCTTGGATGTGTTGTTTATCTTGCAGTTCCAATAAAATGCATAAATGAAACCCTGTACCAAGAACTGATCTAACGAGTTATGTAATTGTGGTTATCAGTGTATGGATCTTGGAGAGAAAGAATGCCTGGCCGGCCTTATCTGTCATCATAATGTAAATTAACAGGATTTACTCTCACCCGTAACTTGCATGCAGAAACTTGCGCGTCAGTAGTTTAGACGCCATCCCCCACCAACACCCACCTCCCCCACCAGCACCACCCACCTCCTCCTCACTCTGCTTCTCTGTGTGTGTCCGAGAACAAAGGTCTTTTCATGTGGATGGTTTTTCCCACACTGGTTTGTTAAACTGGTAAAGAAGTGTACGATTATCTTTTATTTGAAACCTTGGATAAATAAGGGTCTTGCAAATGCGTGTAAAAAGAAGGATAATTTATATAGGGACTATATAACACAGGGAACTAAGAATGCGGAAATGAAATATAAAGTTTATAAAAATAAGTTGGTATTAATATTGAGGAAAGCCAAGAAAGACTATTATAATAAACTTTTTCAGGAAAACAAGAATAATATTAAGGGCATTTGGAATATTTTTAAAGGAGTATTGGGTAACAAGAACACACCCTCAGATCGGTGTATTTATTTTATTAAGAATAATCAAGTTGTCGATAATGAGGCTGAAGTAGTAAACGAATTTAATTCCTTTTTTGTAAATGTTGGACCTACTTTAGCAAATTTAATTAGAAAGAATGACGACCCAGAATATGAAGTTTGGAAAGGAGAAAGTAGAGTGGTTAATTCTATATTCTTAGCTGATATTACCATAAAAGAAAAAGTAGCAATTGTAGAAAATTTTAGAAATAAAAAATCTACTGACTATGATGGTATAGACATGGTTATAATTAAAAAGACTTTAGACTGTATAAGTATTCCTCTATGCTATATTTTTAATCTCTCGTTACAATCAGGATGAAAGTGGCAAAAGTGATACCCTTATATAAATCAGGAGATAAGCATAGTTTTAACAACTATAGGCCAGTGTCTCTTAATTTTGTCACAGTTTTCAAAAGTGCTTGAAAAACTTTTTGCGCAAGACTTGATAGTTTTATTGAATAAATCAACTAATAAATGAAAATCAATTTGGATTTTGTAAAAATAGATCAACGGCATTAGCATTGTTGACTTTCATTGAAGATATTTCATCTGCAACCCATAAGAATAAATACACAGTTGGGGTATTCGTTGATTTAAAAAAAGCTTTTGACACGTTACAACATTTTATTTTGATTTCTAAATTGTATAATTATGGTGTGAGAGGTGTGGCATTGACTTGGTTAAGGAGTTATTTAGAAAATATGTACATTATCTCGGCAATACCTCTGAAAGATTGAAGATTGTATATGGGGTTCCTCAAGGTTCTATTTTAGGACCTAAACTTTTTAATTTATATATTAATGATATCTGTGAAGTATCAAAAAGGTTAAATTTTATTTTATTTGCAGATGACACAAATTTTTATTGCTCTGGAGAGAATTTGAAAGATTTGGTTGAAATTATGACTTCTGAGATGTTAAGATTAAAAAAATGGTTTGATGTAAATAAATTATCTTTGAATCTGACAAAAACGAAATTCATGATATTTGGCAATTGTGTAAAGGAGGAAGAAGTCATTATGTCCATTAATGCAGAATTGATTGAAAGAGTTACTGAATTTCGCTTTTTGGGTGTAATAGATGGAAATTTGACGTGGAAATCACATATTGAGTATATTAGAAAGAAGATGGTTAAAAACATTTATATTTTGGGAAATGTAAGCGATTTATTAGACCACAAAACAATGCGCATTTTATATTTCTCATTGTTGTTCCATACTTTAGTTACTGTGTCGAAGTTTGGGGGAATACATATGAGAATACTATAAGACCTCTAAACTTATTACAGAAGAAAGTGATACGAATGATTCATAAGAGAACATACAAATAAATTATTTATAAAATCAAAATTATTAAATTTAGGAGATTTAGTGAAACTACAGACACTATTAATTATGTTTAAGGCTAAAAGTAATATTTTGCCTTCTAAGTTACAAAGAGTATTTTTAACGTATTCGGGGGGAGAAGATAGCAGAAGGAAATTTTATTTTAAGCATCAGCTAGCTAGGACTACACAAAGATTAATGAGTCCAACGGTTAGGGGTATACGACTGTGGAACTCTCTTCATTATAATTTAAAGAGTTGTATAAATTTACATTGTTTTAAAAAGTGTTACATGTCTAACACGATAACTCAATATGAAGAATGTGAATGAAATTGGAGTAAAAGGATCCATTATTTTTTGTTTCATTTATTTTATTTACTTATCTTTTCTCCTTGTTACTATGTGGAGTGGTATATTCTGATTGTAAATTTGTTGTTTGGTTTGAGTTAGGACTGGAAATAAGTGTTAATGTTAGTTTGTTCCTTGACTTTTGGTGCCCACTTGCAATATAAGTTGGATTGTAGATAGGGGGCAGGGTTTAATAAGAATATATTCTTCTGCCTGCTCCTTTTCACACGTGGTTGCAGTGCTTTACTGACAGAAAGTGTAGTTGGTTTGTTTGAAAGAACTAACTGTGGAAACTGTTGACCAAGTGTGAAATAAATAAATAAATGAAAATGAAAATTATCTGTTATCATAGGAATCCTTTCTAATGGAGCACATTATGCACTCTTTGGGTAGATGGGAAGAAACCAAAGGAAAAGCCGCTGCTGGCTGTTAAAAACGATGCAGGTTTAACAAACTTGTACACGGGCTTCACATTTAACACCCTCCATTCATCTCATATATAAGTCTATGAGTTGTATGATTGGTTGATTAAGAATTGATTTCTGATTGCAAGGGGACAAGCAATAAGTACTTTAAATGTTAAAAGTAATGTTAAATCAAAACAGAATCTTGTGTATAAAAAGCAGCTGGTTGTGGTGGCTCTGGCCAAACTGAGTGTCAGCCGTGAAACAGAAAGCTCTGAAACTGAGTTCTTCCCAGGAAATTCACGCAAGGGGTCACTAGAGGCTGTAATCCAGACTATGTGTGGAAAATAGTTTACCATCAAACTGCACGTGCCAGCTTCATTTTACTACAAAGGAGTTTAATAAGAACAGCTAAGCATCCATGGTACAATCAACTGTCCATGTACACACACCTGCCAGGGAAGAACAGAACAGAACAACTCAGCTGTCTATTAGCCAAAGTACGAATGAGCATATTTCCCAAAGGTCAAACTTGCATGTTAAAGAAGTACAAGAATCACTTTGAGAGCACAAACCTCCACCAGGGCAGCTGACTCTCTATTTACTTTTAATTTCATTCATTCTGATTTCTTTGTTCTTTTTTAACATATGTTTACTAACATATGTTAGTAGGTAATGGATAATAGATAATGATTTATAAATAACTGGACATGAGAAACTTGTATATTTCTGAGTGAAAAGACAGCTCGTTCTCCTTCTCTTGAACTTTCTTTAAATATCTAAATGTAAAAGTGAGATCTGAGGTCAAATGTGACAAAATTCTTTGGATAAAAACTGTAATAATCCTCATATACATCATTCCCAACGTGTTGCCTATATGTGGTCAATATAAACAATGGCAGTAAGAAATTGTTAACATGAGCGCGCTCTACACATTTACAAAGTTTTATCAGAACTCATTTAAGACTTCTTTTATCCAAAACTCAAAACGCTACCAAAAGCATAACCTCCTCGGCGGAGGTAACACGTGTAACGCTTTATGTTATCGAGTAAAATGTGCAATAGTACTCCAACAATAAACTTGGTACCCAGTTATGTGGGTCTTCTCCAGAATGCTTTCCTGAGCAACGATTAGTGCTGTATAGAGCAAATTTCCAAGGCTGTCACATTTATGTTGATGTGACATCTGGTGGCTTTTTTCTCACATTGTGTCAGTGATTAATACAAAATTCCTGTAAAGAACAAAAGTTGCGCTTGGAGCAAGAACTTGTTCACCTTGCCTAATCTGCAGAGGTATTTTTTTAATAAAAGCATGTTTCCAGTAGTGCAGTCTAAGATTCCATCTGTCTCTGATTTCATGTCTGGCTCTAAGGCTTTCTTTTATTCTTTTCCTTTTTTTTGCGTGGGCATTTTCAAATAGCGGTCTGAACTTGCTCAAAGGCAGATGGTTTTGTATGGAATGCCACAGGAAGTGCCGGTGCCGCTTCAATATTTGATCTCTCTTTCAGTTTATTTCCATGCCACCGCTTCATATATAATCGGCCTACCTGACGTTCAAGTATTTCCAAATGATCTTCACATGAGTTTTCTTTTCTCTTTATTTTCCACAGTCAATCCATGCTGTTCCTTCCCCTGTCAGCACTGGGGGGTGTGCGTCCGGTACGGTCAGGACAAGTATGAGTGTGACTGCACTCGTACCGGCTACTACGGAGAAAACTGCACAGTCCGTAAGTCAGTTTTCCTCTGTGAGAGTTGTGCTCATATCCTCTTTTATTGCTGTACCTTTTAGGAATTTCAACTATTTAACTTAACATAAAACCAAAGGGTTTTGAAAAAAATGGTTTAATTTCATAGCCCCAGGCTGTCAGCGTTAAAACGTCTGTCTAGACAAGTATTTGGGAAAATTGAAGGAGCGTGGGGAAGTGCCAAGAAGAGAGCAGCTGGATTAACAAAGAACCCTCACATGCTGTAGTTCCCAGTCATTTGTTATGTATTTGGCAGACATTCGCACACTGAGTGTAATAACAGTTAATCACTGCTTTGATTGTACATGGAAAGAAAAAGACAATAGGAGCAGGAGTAGGAAAGAAAAGGAAGGAAAGGAGTATTGGACAGGAAAAGGAGTTACATGTAGACCAATGTTTTCACTTGTTGTGTAACGCAGAATAGACACACATATTGCTCATGTAGCTCCAAAGAAAATATTATGACGTCTTTATGGAGCTACCAGCCAAGTGAAAGGAACAGTTTCACATTTTTGGGAATTACACTCTTTCTTTTTTCAGGGTTTTTTGTAACAAGTAGGAATATTTAGGAATATGATACACCAATACTTATTTGTCCTGTTAATAATACACTTTTGATAAAATCAGAAGCCTGTGGCATGACACAAAAACTTGCATTGTCCTGCTTTCTCCAGCTCGTGTTAAACCTTTTTCACAATGTGTTCAGTTTGTTATCATTTAAAGGTAAATGGACTGTACTATACTCTACCACACATTCACACTCCGATGGATGCATCGGAAAACAACTTGGGGTTAGTATCCTGTCCAACAATATTTGGCAGACTGGAGCAGCCGGAGATTGAACCTTCAACCTTCAGATTAGCCATTTGTATGTGAAGTCCCATTCTGAAGCCTTGAGATGAGCATTTTACTCATCATATGTCATATAATTCTTCTTAGACTTGGGTTAACCTGATAGAGTAGCAAAAACGAGCCAAACCCCAGTAATTTGTGCTGCTTCTGTTCTTTAATGCTACCGCAACCCTACTTTGGTGCATAGTGGGGATTTGATTACATCTACAAATCGGTAGTGGATGTAATCAAAATCAAAGTCATTAACCCTAGATTTTTGGTGGAGTAGCCCTAAAACCACATAATAAGATTCTCATGTTGATGTTTTGGTTTAAACATAAGCACATTTTTAAGGTGTTACAGCAAAACCAGCTGACGCAGTAAACTTGGAGTTTTTGGGGCCCCGAGGGAGGCCGATAATGAGACAGAACTGCCATTATATTTCACTTCATTCAGTAATCCACCGACTCCAGAGGTGTGGGTGGCAATTCAGAAGTCTTGATCCTGGTTTTAAAAGCAAGACCATGCCTGCCAAGTGTTCTGCTCCATAATGACATAGCGACTTTGTTATTTAGAGTAGATTTCCAGATCCCCAGTTGCCATGACTTCCAGTAATAACAAGACCATGTCTCGTGATGTTCTGCCATTCCAGCCGAGCTTTGGACCCGAGTGCGTCAGTTTTTCAGGCCCAACCCAGGTGTGGTGCACTACATTCTCACCCACTTCCACTGGCTCTGGGACATCATCAACCACACTTTCCTGCGGGACGTCCTCATGCGGCTGGTGTTAACAGGTCCAGAGTCAGCAAACTTATTGTAGAGAAATTCATTCTGGATGTTTTTTACACGTTCTGTGTATCTAATACATCTGTTTTTTTGTACCAACAGTGAGGTCAAACTTAATTCCCAGCCCTCCAACCTTCAACTCCAAGTATGACTACCTCAGCTGGGAATCCTACTACAATCTGAGCTACTACACTCGACTTCTGCCTCCGGTGCCAAAGGACTGTCCCACACCTTTGGGGGTGAAAGGTTAGCTTCCAAGGAGTCACATTTTGTAATTAGGGGAGTGTGATAGAAATTGAATACCAAATCGACACCCAACAAGCGGACTGAAACATGACTCAACATGAATCAAACTTTGCTAGTCATGGTTTAGAATCCCTTGTTATTTTTGTTATACTGTCCCCAAGAGGCCAGTGTCTGCTATTGCTCATTTAAATGTGCTTTGTCAAATGATGGTTGATGATTCTGTTGATTAAGAGTATAAATTTAAACATCTGACAACAAATGCTGGCATCAAATGTAAGCTCACATAGTTCCAAATTTAAATCCACATTTTTATGCAAAGAGTGTAGTTTAAGGATTGCTTTTATCCATATCTTCTCCTTGGACTGCGCAGAAGTGCAGTTTAACATGTCAGCTGTGTCAGAGCTTCAGTATTATGGCTTGAGTCGGGTGTATCTGTGTTCCCCCCCGGTATGGTGCATGATGCTGTGGTGTTTCTCTTCAGGCAAGGCTGGGCTACCTGACCCTGAGGTGTTGGTTGAGAGGCTTCTGAAGAGAAGGACGTTCCGACCCGATCCCCAGCGCACCAGCCTCATGTTCGCCTTCTTCGCACAGCACTTCACCCACCAGTTCTTTAAGACCTTCAATCGCATGGGCCTCGGCTTCACTAAGGCTGTCGGCCACGGGGTCAGTCCATCCTGATCTTTGGTGTGCAGCACATTAGCTTTGTTAAGGAGTTAGTGTTATATACATAGCATAAGAGCAGAGGGAAACTTCTAGTCTTGATTCTGTCTTTTTGTTCAATTTCAGCAGTATAATTTACATTATGAAGCTGGAGGTTGGTGGAAGTTGGAGGGTAACTCCAGATGAAGTAGCAGCGGCTTTTTACAATTACACCTCTGATGCTTTTTTTGGTTCTCTCCTGCGACTCAAACAGGTGGACGCAGGACACATTTATGGAGACAGCCTGGATCGTCAGCTAAACCTCAGGCTTCTCAAAGATGGAAAGCTGAAATATCAGGTAAAGTCATTTGCAGACTTATATCTGACTGCTTTATTAGGGACGCCTGTTCAACTGCCCCTTAAGTGATCTAATCAGCCAATCACATAGCTGCAATCACTGCTTGCAGACATCCGACATCGTGATAATCGACTTCAGCCTGCTTTCATTTCAGCCTGTTGTGTGGCAGGGCTCATCAGCAGATGTCAGAGAAGTGGAGTAGCTTGCATCCAATCAGTGGTGCTGCTCGATAAAAACCCTCCGAGCTCAATTGCACTGTACTGATTGTACTGATTACACACACCACGGTTAGCTGAAGCTCTCTCCTTGTTTCCCTCATTTAAGATAAATATGTTTTTAAGTGGAATTTGTGTGCATCTCCTTTTGTGTTCAACCCGATTTGTAACAACATGTTGAACTGCTGAAGTTCAAAGAGAGCATCAGGGTGGGGACAAAAGGTGGTGTAAGTCATTTTGAACGTGGCGTGGTTGTTTGTTTTGGATGCCTGCAGTTCGTGTGGGCTCACCAAAATTGAGTAATAGAAGAGTGCTCAATTTCAGAGCAAGGCTTTGTGAAAACATGCACAGATCCTGGCTTGTATCGACGGCTGCTGCTGGTGTGAGGGATATTTTTCTTGGCAAACTTTGGGCCACTTAGAACCAACTGAGTATCATTTCAACACCACAGCCTACCTGAGTATTGTTGCTGTGTATGTTCATCCCTTTATCACCTCAGTGTACCCATCTTCTGTTGGTTCTATTGGTCCAACCTGGTACTAGCAGGGTGTAGTTAATGAAGCAGCCAGTGAGTGTACATGTTGATTTAGAAGCGCAACTGTCAGTTCTGCAGTTCTTTTTAAAATGAAATACTTGATCTTCATTAACATTGTGAATTACAGATGACAGTGACTTGTATCATCATTCTTTCTTTTTCTGTCCTGTCAGTTAATTGATGGAGAGATGTACCCTCCCAGTGTCGCTGATGCATCTGTTAGAATGAGCTACCCTCCCGGAGTCCCCGCTGAGGCTCAGATGGCTATCGGTCAGGAAGTCTATGGACTTCTCCCTGGTTTGGGAATGTACGCCACGCTGTGGCTGAGGGAGCACAACCGAGTCTGTGATATATTGAAAGCGGAGCATCCCACCTGGGACGATGAGCAGCTTTTCCAGACCACACGGCTCATTATTATCGGTGAGTTAGACACAGTTCAAAAGGAACAGTGAGCCTGGCATTGCAGACTTCAAGTGTTTAGTGCAAGTGGCTAGGACATGTGACAGTTCACTGCTTTTTCTAATAACAAGTTAACTAGTTTAAATAAAATTTAGCAAAACATGTTGGATTTTATACTAAATTTGGTTTAAAAATGACTTGGTTTTTTTTCTTTTTTGAAAGTTTGAGCCAGGCTTGTTCCTTCCCAGCATCTGTGTGGTGTAGTGGTTAATACGTTTGCCTTACACAGGAAAGAGCCTCAGTTTGATGTCGGGAACAGACTCAAACCCAGCCTCAAGTGGGTCATAAGATGGTGTACTTCTAGTACTGGTCTCAAGTCAAAATAAATGTGAAGGTTGCATCAGGAAGAACATCTGGCATAAAATCTGTGCCTAATTGAAAAACATCTGCTGTGGTGATCATTTGGGGAAATAACAAGCAGTCTTTTGCCTTAAGCAACCACTGAATTCCGCACAGGTGTAGCCAGAGCCTGTTCTTTACACTAAACTATTGCATTTAATTATGTATTGTTTTTTTGGTAAACTTTGTTTGTTTAACTTGAGGTCGAGTCACTGTCTGCTTGGTGCATTTTTCTTTAATCCCTTTGCTTCTCGAAGGCGAGACCATACGAATCGTGATAGAAGATTACGTGCAGCACCTCAGCGGATACCTGCTTCAACTCAAGTTCGATCCCACCCTGCTGTTCGGCTCTCCCTTCCAGTACGGCAACCGTATCGCTCTGGAGTTCAGCCAGCTCTACCACTGGCACCCTTTGATGCCCGACAGCTTCTTAATAAATGGGGACGAGCTGTCATACGAACAGTTTCTCTTCAACACGTCTGTTCTGACGCACTACGGCGTGGAGGCCCTCGTGGATTCCTTCTCCAGGCAAATTGTTGGGCAGGTAGCAAACGGCACATGTTGTGTAATTGTAACACACAGTTATGGTGCATTTTTACAAGTTAGAGTTGTTTGGACGTCTGTGTTTTATAACTCGCTTTGTAACCATCAGCAACTGAAGTGTTGCACAATTCAGTGATCCATGTTTAAGGATTTCTGGCAGTCGCACAAAGTTTTCCTGTTTTTCTTTATCATACTCTGCGAGTGATATAATGTGATCGCACGCTGACAGCTTGTTTTCGTACTGATAAGCTGAGGCTTGTGCAGACTTCTGCAGTAAGCCATGTGTTTCAGTCACTTTGTACCTAACTTCTCACAGGATGTCTTTTGACTGAGGTCACTCCATATTGGTTACTTACTTCTCCCACCGTTGACCCACAGATTGGCGGTGGGCACAACATCAATGCGATGGTCACCAAAGTAGCCGTTGGGACCATCAAGGAGTCCCGTGAACTTCGCCTCCAGTCTTTCAACCAGTACAGGAAGCGCTTTAACCTCACGCCATACACGTCATTCAGGGAATTCACCGGTAAGGCAAATGATTCTGTGTCTAGCTCACATGGCACAAATTTTAGAAGTCCACGCAAACAGCTGGACGGACACTCCTGGAATTAATGGCATCTGCTCTCTTTTTGGAGCAATTTTTAAAGCACTGGTTTTGTCAAAGTTATTTTCTTCCCTCTGCTGTCCTCTGAAGGGTAGCGAGGGGATGCATTTGCATCAGAATCTCTATTTACATGTCACGAACTCCACTGAGTGTCCACCTTAAACAGTCATGTGCCGATTTACATCATGCATCTCCCTGACATAGAGAGATTTTCAAAGAGCTTACAACTCCACTGACTCCGTGATGAAGATGGAGAAAGACTGTGATAGTTCATAGAGCCTGAAAATCCACGAAAGAGGTGTTTTAAGCCATAGTCAGTGAATTCAGTAGCTGCTGATTGGACCCCTTGAAGAAGCAGCAGTAGGCCTACAAAATAAAATCAAAGCCGGGGGAAGGCTTCATCACCTGGTCATGAAATTTCACAGCAGTGTGTCTCACTCTATTGGAGGAGCTCTGTAGAAAACCTCCCTGTCAAAACTAATGTGCTGAACTGATCTGCCAGCCTTACAGCAGTATTGGTTTAAAACCTGCAAATATTATCTGTAAAAATCTGTACTGTAATGATGTCGATGACCTGCTTCATAAACATCCTATTTGACATATTTGGTCACTTTTTGCAGATAATGAGGAGATAGCACGAGACCTCGAAGAGCTCTACGATGACATTGACGCACTGGAATTTTACCCCGGCTTGTTGTTGGAGAAAACACGAGCGGGGGCCATATTTGGAGAAAGCATGGTGGAGATGGGTGCCCCCTTCTCCCTTAAAGGCCTCCTGGGAAACCCTATATGCTCTCCGGAATACTGGAAGCCCAGCACCTTTGGAGGAAAGGTGGGCTTTGAAATAGTAAACTCTGCCACACTCAAGAAGCTGGTGTGTCAAAACACCAGAACGTGTCCTTACGTGTCATTTAGAGTACCAGCAGAAGAGAAGCAAGAACACGGGCGGGAAGGTGACAGAGGGCAGACTGATGAGCTATAACCTTTGCAGACATCAGAAGGTTGTTTTGTTTTTGTAAGATCATTATATGAAGGTAAAAGAGGCGGCTGCTAAATAAAACAATTTTAAAAAATTAGTGTTACAGATGTTTGCTTGGAAAACATCAGTAATGCTTGCTTGAACAGCACTGGAGAGTCACACAGGAATCAAGAGCTCAGAATGAAATCAAATATGCCTTTTCCTTTATTTTGCTCACTGTCTCATACACTTGAACACAAATACATGAGGAATAAACATGTTTTTTTGTAAATAAAACTTGTGTCCGAAGACTGAAATGATCACAATACCTGTTCGCACTGTCCATCAGTAAACGTTTGTACTGTCTGCAGAATTATTTTGAAAGATCTCATTGCAGCTCAGCATAAAGACTGAAATAAAACTGCCCATTCATTCAAACGTACTCAGGCTTCAACATTATTTACGACCCAATGATCATTATCTCTCATGACTGTTTGTACCCCACCCACATTACTCACCCACTGCATCTCATAAAACCAGTGTATTCTTTGGCTTAAAGTTGAACACCAATGATAGCTGATGAGAGAGACCTGCCCAGTGCTATGTAACTGCAAGTCTTCTTTTTTTCTTTCTTTCTTTTCTTTTTTTAATAACCAGGGTGCACAGCGTGGTTTAAAATACACATATAACTAAATTGCCCTTGCTTCATAGTTTAAAACATGTGTTCTTGCTATATGCACTTCTGCATACATACATATGGGATTATATATGTCCGGAAAAACCACATATACAGTCTGTATGTACCTGCTATTTGTCTTTTCAGATGATTTGCATTGTGTAATCGTTTATATAAACATGGGAATGCAAACCCGTATCTTTTCACTGATTTCAGACAGCTTTTGTGAAAAATATTTAAAAGGAAGAAGGAATGATAAAGTCAAAATATTTAGCTTGGCACTGATTGTAGAAGCCATAGCAGCACTCTTTTTGCCCTCTAGTGGTGAAATAGGGAGTTGCATAGTTTATCTTCCAGCAACTTCCCGCACCTCATGTGTTGTCTTTAGGCGCCCTCGGTAAAGTCCAAACTCACAATAAAGTCAAAACTAAATATTACAGTGTCACCACAGTGGGTTGACATATTAGTTTGGATGGAAACAGTATCATAACTAACTATTTAGAAAGCAGTTCGGATCTTCTACTGCTTGATTACGTCATTTTTAAGCTTATAAGTAAATTAAATACTCGCGTGCTGCAATTGTTTGCAAAGCTATAGAAAGTAAAATTGTTTCGTTACAATTATCGGAGAGGTGAGTTTCAGCGTGTCTACATAACAGACAGGATGCAGTTTAAACTGGCTGCAGTTTCGACTTCATTCCGATTCTCTTTACCCTCGAATCATTATTACGACACGTCAGTGAACCCTGAAGGCATCACGTTTGTGTGGAAGAGCGGCTTGAGGCGGCTGAACTAGTGGATTAAGCTCGGGCAGCCAGCGAGCCGGTTATTAAATTGAGGTAAGAAGCCGGGTGGTTACAAGTAGTGGATTTATTGTGTCGTTTTAATGCAATATATGATGTAGGAGTCGGCTTCGTTTTAACGCAATCTCGGGTAATGGCTGCCGCGGACTCCCAGGAAGTCAGCATAGGAGAAGTAGCTAACCCACGTAGCTAATGCTAACCACCTTACTTTCTACAAACACCCAACCCACCAGCTGTTCGGCCCGCGTCCTTACATAAACAAGCTAATTGGATTGTCGCCATTTTCTTTTCAGTACGGCACATGTACTGAAATAACAGCAATAGTGAATGTAAATGGTTGAGCTATCTGTCTCAACATCGGCAGAGGCTCTCAGATCAACTCTCGTTAGCTGTTATCTTCGCTGTCAGCTGCTGTGCTGGGACAATAATAAAGCAGCACAGTACCGATTCATGCCTCATATTGTGTATGCTGTCATAAGTAAGAGGGCAGTGTGAGGAATGTCTCTCTCCCCGTCTGCCCATCTGTACACACCGGCTCTCTTACATACGGATCGGTGCATCACAAAAGGCCTCTTAGCTTAAGTTTAATAAACTGGCACACTTACTCTAAGCTATGTATAGTGTGTGGCCCACTTTCTGTACATAAGCCTTTCCTAGCTGTGTTTATCTGTCTGGATTATACAGCACTATACTGGACTATTAAGCAATGAACGCGTTTTTTTATCCGATTTATCCAGATTTTTATCAGTGAGGTTAGAAGTCTTTAATATCTCGGAGTCGTTGTATTGTGTGCTTATTATTCATTATTAAACTAGTTCATACTGCTTCCCACAGGCGAGCCGTCATCATGACTACTCTGGATGACAAGATCCTGGGAGAGAAGCTGCAGTATTACTACAGCAGCAGTGAGGATGAAGGCAGCGACAATGATGATGAGGATGGGGAGAACAAGACCATTAGGGATGCTGAAGTCAGGGAACCCGAGATAGACTACAGCGCAGATGGAAGTGCTGTGAACACAGGTTGTACAAACAGATGTAGTGCATTCACAGAAAAAAAAAAATTGATCCCTTGTCACAAGGCAGCAGCCCAAAATGACATCTAAATAAATTATCTGGTTATTTTTGACAAATAAAAATGTCAGAAACTTTTTAAAAAAAAATCCTTGGAGCTTCCCTCATTTTTAAGCCATCCTTGTGTTTGACTTTAATCGATCTTTCATCTGTGTCATAAGAATATAGAGTGTGTTATGGTAACAGTGGCTGTTCTGTGTCAGGGCCCAAGGGTGTGATCAATGACTGGAGGAAGTACAAGCAGCTTGAGGTGGAGCAGAAACAAGAGCAGAAGAAGGAGATGGAAAGACTGATCAAGAAGCTGTCGATGACATGCCGCTCTAACCTTGACCAGGAAAAGGACCAAGAGAAACAGAAGGCACTTCAGGAAAAAATCCAAGGCAAAGTAAGTAAATCAGACTAACAGAAGACACATGAAAGACCTCTGAAAACCCTCGTTTAGCTCAGACCTATTGTTGCTGATCGGTGGCATCCCTCCTGGGGTGAATGTAGGCAAAGAGCTGATTATCAAGGACAGCGTGAACATGGTAAAACAAAAAAACCTCTATTTTCTAGACTCTGCACCATTGATTGTATTTGTGGATGGAACAAACAACATACATCATATACTCAATAGGCTCAAGATGCTTTTTCTTTTTTTCTTTAATGAATAAAACTCGGTCTAGTTTATTCCAGTTTTTGTCCATAGTCCACTCTCTCCTGGCTGTAGATTCATATTCAAAGAATACAAAGAAGTGTGAATTGTGTTGCACACACTCGTCTGATTTTGTGTGTTCATTCCTGTCTGCTTCACAGATGACCATGCAGGAGTACAACATGCTTCAGGAAGAAGAGGATGATGAAGAATTCCTCCAGCATTACCGCATGCAGCGCATCGAAGAGATGCGGCGCCAGCTGTGCCGCGGCAAGCGTTTTGAGCAGGTCTACGAGCTAAACAGTGGGGAGGAGTTCTTAGAGGCTTTAGACAAAGAGGACAAAAGCACCCTGGTCATGATCCACATCTACGAGCCGGACGTCCCGGGCTGCGAGGCCATGAGCGGCAGCCTGATGTGTCTAGCTCAGGAATACCCGCTGGTCAAGTTCTGCAGCGTGCGCAGCTCAGCCATCAGCACCAGCGCACTGTTCAGAGACAGCGCTCTGCCTGCTCTGCTCGTTTACAAAGCCGGGGACCTGATCGGCAACTTTGTGCGGCTCACAGATCAGCTCGGGGAAGACTTCTTTGCCGTAGACCTGGAGGCCCTGCTGCGGGAGTACGGCTTGCTGCCCGAAAAGCCTCCCGTCGTCCCAAAGATGGTTCGCAACGGAGCCATCATACAGAGCACTGTGAGCGACGAGGACTCTGACCTTGATATAGACTAGAGCCATAGCTTCTAACATGTATGATATGCTTGGGAAAACTGTGTACACAGATGTGGCCCCTCTGTGGCAACAGAGCGAGCCTTGACTGACACCTCACCACTCACGCAGCCACACACAACCAGCATTAAAGCAGAACCAAAAGTGAGTGCAGACACCACAACTTAGTGCATTTCATCCTATCATTCCATAGTAAATATGAGTTATTTGATGAGTGTAAATATCATTATCAGAGGGTTTCAGAATACTGTAGATGTTTTACGTTTTGTTTGAGCTGACAACTTTACCTATTTATTGTGTTAAACCACATTGCCGTGTATTCATGTGCTTCACTGTGTAGAATAGAAAACCTTTGGGCCAAACTAACTATTAGTTAATTTTCTAACTTTTATATGTGCTCCACCATATCAAATAGTCAGGACAATAAAGTGTAAAGTGTTTGGACTTGGTATTTTGTTGTCTTTTTATTTGCTGGAATCTGTGTAAAGTTTAAACTGCATCATCAACATTATTCAGTTTAATTCAGTTGTACTTTTGTAGTGCCAAAATCTGCCTTTACATTGTAAGTTAAAGACCCTGCAATGTTAGAAGGACAAGCCCCAACAAGCAGTTATGAGCGATCACTTGGTGACAGTGGGAAGGAAAAACTCCCTTTCAACAGGAAGAAACCTCCAGGCTCAGGTTGAATCAGCCATCTGCTGCAAGTGGGTGAGGGGAGGGAGACGGGATGAAAGAAACACTGTGGAAGAGGGCCAGAGGTTAGTAAAAACTAACGATTAGAGGTGAGTGAAGAAGAAACACTCATTGCATCATGGGAGGTCTTTAAGATAAGATGGGACCTGATTATTCAGGATGTTTTATGTGAGGAATTTAAATTCGATGTGCTTTCTTATATAAAAAGAAGGGGTGGCACTAAAAGTGTCCTGAACTAAATGAATTCTAAAAGTCCTCTATCAAGCTTGTGATGGAGCAGAACTTGCAAAGAGGTAAACAAACTATTTTATTTTTTAAAAACAGGTAATCAGGTGATTGCAATAATAATTACCAATGTGCTGGTGATATTTACATATTGCGTAAAAGAAAAGTGCCTGGAGGCGTTTCAAGATGACTGCCAAGTGGTTCAACTGAAGAACGACTTTGGCTGCTTTAACATTTTATTGTTTTTAAAACAGGAACTGGTGAATAACGTAAAGCGTTGGGGTAGAAGTGTTTAAGGTGAAAACACCTGAGTGATGACTAGCGTTGTTGAAACTGGAGGGCCAAGAGTGCCAAAATGAATTAAATAAGTAAATAAATAATAAATTACACATTTCAGTAATTAACTATTTCAAATTGGAAATAATCTATTACATCTTTTCAAATAAATTCATTGATGTTTCAGTAATTATTTCTATTTCATTACTTAATTCTTTCCATTTAAAAAAAAACTATTGTTTCATTTTATAGCAGGTAAAGTGGCTTCAGCTGTACTCAGGCAAACACAAAAATTAGCAGTTAGCTTTATTTTTCAGTAAAGTTCACAGCATTTCCATTTAGAGTTACAAAAACCAACTTTCTGAGTTCAGCTTAGTTATAAACATTTATTGTATTTCATTAATACAATAAATGGCTAAAAAGTAAGGCAACTCCCTGTGTTTAACCTGCTCTCAGTCTGCTTTCTCTACACTCACATTAACTTTTCGCTCCAGTGAATCCTCCCCAGAGGTGATTTGTACACAGGATTGACAGGTCAACTCTTCAAATCTTGTCGGCTCAATAATTCCTCTGAACAGGAAGAGCGGTGGCATCGACACTCGCTGTTCAACCATATTAAATTGCACAATACAGCCTGCAGCAGCCATGAGGAGTTGACTCAACTTTTCTGACATCAGACCGCTGCAGCCTACAGGCATCTCATCATTATCAGCAGGAGGTGCAGCAGCATCAGCAGGCGTATGAGGTGTGCTCCGTGTTCATGGAGAGGAGCTGCTGAGCCATGCAGGCCATGCCCACAAAAGGTGTTTTCCAGCAGGAGGTGGGTTTCTGCACTGATACCTGCCAGGAAAGGAGAAATTCTGTCACACTTTGTCAGCTGGGGTGTGCATTAGGCAGCTGGTTTATCCCAAAGTGCAACTCATTAACCCTCTGCTGTCCACACAGCCATGAAATCAATGCAAACTAATGCAGTGAGCACAGCTCTGTGAAGTCACGGGAGTAGTTTCAGCCAGCTGCAGACATACACACCATGTTCTGACCATTCGTCCCATAGATGCTGGACATCTTCATCATGATGTTCATGGTGATGATCTGGGTCTGTATCAAAAACAGAGAATTGCTCTGTTAATATCTTTTATTCTGCGAACAGCACAGACTATATGAAAAAAAAAAATGCAAAACATCCTGCATCCTAATCGAGTCCTGAAGTGCTAATGTGTATGCAGAGAGTGCACGAGTTAACACAAAGAGCCGGGAGAGGATTAAAACATACAGAACATGAAGAGTAAATGAAAGGGGAAAAGCCGTTTTGACCTTGGACGCCAACATTTCATCCCCATAAACTGTCTCAAAATCAGCTTCTGTGTGATTTTCTCTCATTTCAGCTCAAAGATGTTGTTTTTGTGTACAAGAATATGTGCAGTGAAATATGGAGTAGGAGACACTAAAGATATAAAAAAGACTTTTGTAACAAAGAAAAGGATCAGAATTAAACACACAAACGTGAAGATTTTATTTCCCATTTGAATTATTTTCTTGCACTGTGAATTTTTCATTTAAAGAACATTATAAATTCCTCAAAGGAACGTTTTATTATTTCATCTTAACCATCATCGTTTTGAGTTATTTTTATTAAAAACCAAAATCAAGCTCAGCCTGCCCACCTGTATTTACAGATAACATAAAGAGGACTCTGTACCATTTGAGTGAAGCCACAGCATCCGTTTGAGCTCTCTGAGGGCCTTGGTGAGGTTCTCCAGCTGGTCGTGGAGGTGGATGTTCTCCTCTATCAGCGCATGGATCGTATCCTGCAGTTCAAAACCCTGACTTTCCAGCACCAGCAGCGTCAGGGTTACCAGCAAAAGCCTTAGTGTCCTCATAGCGACTGCAGCACAAAGCTTCTGTCACATCTTCACAGTAACCCAGCGATCCTTGTCACAGGTGAAGACAGGAATAAATGGTCGGTGCAGATATTGTCCGCTTAAACACGGCAGGGGTGGGGGTGACAATGGTTCTTTCTTTCCAAAGCCATGGGTGGAAAGCTGCCAGTGGGCTGCTTTTAAATCAATCCAATGTTTCCGTATCACTAAGTGCAGTAGCAGAAGCAGATTGCTTCAGTGTGATCGTCCTCAAATACAAATACGATCTATGATAACAACGGATCATCAGGGCAGGGAGTTCGGGAGGAGGTACTCCCTATTCATTAACATACAAAACACTGGAAACAAATTTCAATCTAAAAATCACAATTGTAGCTTTTAAGTAAACTCTCAGTAGCAGCAGCATCTAAAGCTAAAGCCTGTCATGTATGGGCAGAAACTTGGATAATCAGTCTTACTCGCCCATTTTCCACTTACTGCCACATTTGTAGTTGTGGCAAAACTAATGGCTGTCACAAGGAAACTGCACACCTGTCAAAAGTAACATCTAACTTTTTTTTCTGCTTCCATACATCTACACAGCTCAGGACTGTTTTCGGACTCGTGGAAGTGAATTATCACTTGAGAAAAAACAAATTATTGTGGGGAAGAAAAACATCCATTTATGTGCATCAATTCCTCAGACACAAACACTGCTTTAAAAATATAACCACATCGGAAAGCTGCGCAGATCACTGATCTAAAGAAGCTCATGCTCAAAATTGAAGACTCAGGACACTGTAGTGTTTTTTCCAAACAAAAACCCTTTTATTTATTTATCATGTGAATGAGTTTATGCGGTCTTGGCAGCCCTGGTGCGCTTCTTTTTGACCACAACAGGCTTCTGGCTCTTCAGGATAGCGCTGGCACGACGCAGGGCAGCCTGGGGAAACAAATGAGACTTAAATGTTGTTCTTAAACTTTGACACAAACAAAAATGCCACCTATTTGAATGCCAAAACCACAGATTAAGCTCACCATACGCAGGTCCTTCCTGTATTTGTTCTTGCGAATGATGTGCCTCAAGCTGTTGAGGGTGGCACGGGAATTCTTGTTGATGGTGACCTTGACGTAGGAGTTGGCAGGTTTGTTCTGGCCTGTGCATCAAGAGAACAAAATGAGCATCAAATGTATCCAATGATCCAAAAATATGGATTTTCCAAGAAGAAAACCACATATTTCTGTATACTGTGATATACACAATATGCAGAATCTAAACACAACACAAAATAGTGTATCTAGTTATAAATTTTAACAACTTCCTTCCCCCGCTCCCATTAATGGAAATTCATTAGGCATCCATAGATGACATAAACGTTGCTGCTACCTGATGCATAAGGAGCATTTGAAATATTTGTGTTCAAATACTCTACTTAAAGTTACTGAAGAGAGGATCGTTTGTCCAGTCTGAGTCTGGACAATACTATTACTCAAACGTTAATGAACCAGCATTACTCATTTACCTGCACGCTTCTTCAGCACTACGACGACACCCTTGCCGTCGGCTGCAGGCTGCACACCTACAGTCTTCTTGTGCACCAACCCATTGAAGCGGAAAGAGTTCCTGGCCTTCAGGTTGTTGGGCTCCTGTCACAAAACAAAGACATTCAGATCACTGGCATGCATTTATTTAATTATCTTGCCTGATCCTGCTGTTAGGCTAGGGAGGTAATGTGGTATATTTTAATAAACATTACCAGGACATTTAAAAATCTCAACAATTTGATCTTCAGCAATATAAATATTTACGGATGCTAGCCAACTAGCATTTCCAGTGCCACCTTCAACTAATCTCACATCTTTAGCCAGGATTATGTCACAAACACAGATACAGTCTAAGCCTATGTGGCATATCCTGTCAGCTCAGCTAATATACAATTCTCAAACACTAACAGCAGATTGTCTTGCAATGTTTTGTTAGTATGTTAAGGTAATGTACAAAGCCTGGGATCCGTGTTTCAAGTCTAAGTTATTTGTGTCCCTACCATACCACACTGTACATCACTGCTCAAACCCAGTTTCAGTACTGAGGCAAACTTTCTGGGTGCCTAATCGCACGTTTGGTCAGGTTCTTCAGAGCAGGTTTTGTACTCACAGTGCTGTAGGTCTGTCCGTTCCTCTTGATGAGGAAGCTGGAGCAGTTCCTGATGACCATCCACTGCAAATGGGACGACATGGTGAACCTGTGTAAAAGAGGGAAAAAAATTTCTTGAAAATCTGGAAGACGAAAAACCCTGACAGGCGTCTAACATGTTTGCCTGCATTTTCTGACATTAGCTAAACGTGTTAGCTTAGCGTCACAACTTGAACGGACTAACAAGGGAAACGATGAGACGGC